TTCTAACAAATATAAGAAATCATAAAAGGCTAGTAGGAAAAAGTTTATAAAAATTTTTTTAGGAAAAATAGACAACAAATGATAAGTAATTTTTATATATTAAGATTCAAATAAAGCATAACACTAAGGCCCAAACAAACAAATAATGGGAAGTAAAATAAATAGCTTATTCATAGAGGAAGGTTATACAAATGGCCGTAATATTTTTAAATTTTAGCCTCAGAATAATCTAAGAATGTAAATTAAAATAATTAGTTCACTTTTCATTTATAAATTGTGTTTAAAAATTTTAGAACGAGAATATTCAATGTTGGCAAGGATGTGTGGTAAGTTGGCACTTTATTTTTACCGGTGGGAATTTGCATGAGTGATCACAGCTGTTTTGAGAAACAATTTAGCAATGTGTATATCAAGAATCTTAAACATGTTGATGCTATTTAAACTAGTAATATTACATGTAGAACTCAGCCTTGAAGAAATAATTTAAAATGTGGGTGATTTATGCCCAAGCTTGTTAATCAGAATTTTTAGTAGTGAAAAATTCGCATCAACCAAAATGCCACTGTTAGGGTAATGGTTGAAATAAATTACGGATAGATACACATAATGAATCTGTGCCATTAGCCTGATAACAGACCATTTAATGATGTCGGGAAATACATACTTTAAAAGGTTAATAAAGCTGTATGCAGTGTGACCAACTATGTAAAAATAAACCTGGAAAGAAATACAAACAAGTTAGCTCCTGGGCTGGAAAGATGATATTTTTCTGGTTTCATTAAACTTTTCAAATTTCTCGGATAGGTTTGTCTTGGTTTTATAATTGGGGAAAAAAAGTATATATATATATATTTATATTTATAGATCACCTAGTAAAAGTCCTTAAAAGACCTGATAATATGTAAGGAAGAATGATTTATGATGAATAAATGATTTGTTTGTTTGAAATGGGTGCTCTGAAGTTCCTAAGTGCTGGTATTTTTTTTATTTTATTTTTTATTTTATTGTACTTCGGTTGAAGGCTTACAGAACAAATAGTTTCTCATGAAACGGTAGTACACATGTTGTTTTATGACATTGGTTAACAACCCCACAACGTATCAACCTTCTAACTTCTCAACCTTTCTTTTTTTTTTTTGGTGAAAATACACATAGCCAAAGATACATCGTTTCAAAAATTTCTACACACACAGTTCAGTGACATTGACTGCACTCTTCCAATTGTGCTGTTATTCTCACTTAAGATGAAGACTTACAGAACAAAATAGTTTCTCATTTAACAGTTACTACAAATGTTGCCCTATGACAATGATTAACAATCTCACAACACATCAACAATATCCTTACTCAACCTTGTGTTCCCTATCACCAGCTTCCTTGTCCCCTTCTGCCTTCTGGCCCTTGTCACTGGACTCCTGTACCTCGTTAGTCTCATTTGATTTTACGGGCCTGTCCACTCCCAGGCTGAACAGTGAACCTCGGAGGTAACTTCACCACTGAGCTAAAAGGGTATCTGGGGACCATATTCTCGAGGTTTCTCCAGTCTCCTTTAGGCCAGTAAATCTCGTCTTTTTTTTTTTTTTTGTGAGTTAGAATTATGCTCTACATCCTCTCCAGCTCTGTCCATAACCCTCTGCCGCGATCCTGGTCAGAGCAGTCAGCGGCGGCAGCTAGGCACCATCTAGCTGCACTGGACTCAGTCCGGTGGAGGCCTTGGTAGATGTGGACAATTAGTCCTTTAGACTAATCTTTTCCTTGTATCCTGTTCTCTTAGTGCTGGTATATTTTGTTCTCAGATTTATCTGCAGTTTTGTTTTTACTGCTGAACAGGAGACATTTCCAGCTTCCTAAAAGCATTTCTTCCTTAATATCTTGCTCATACTTGCAAAGTGGGAACCGCTATTCTCCCATCATATTGCTTTTCTGCTTCTATTCTGTATCTTGCAAAATGGTATCTTTAGTCTTATCTTAGATTACTTCTTTTCTTTTACATTCCCTACATCCAGATCCTTTCTTTTCCCCCTTGCAAATGTCTGGCCACTTTTTTTTTCCTTCTCTTTCATTGTTCCTGCTTCACTTCTTGCCTTTGTCAGCTTTAGGGTTTAGACTCATCTTCAGAATTTCCAAACTGGTCTTTCTGGCCCATTCTCTTCTCGCTAGCCCATTCTCCCCACGACTGACCACCAGTAATCTTCCTAAAAATAGGTAACCTGATCGTGTTCCTTTTTGCTATTTGAAAACTTCCACTAAGGTGTGTGTGTATGTGTATGTATGTGTGTTTTAGTAAAAGTAATAATACATGTACATCGTTCAAAAAGACAAATAGCCCACAAGACTTAAATTGAAAAATTGTAGTCCTCTGCCCTTCCCTTATCCATTCCAGAACAAGATTCAATTCTTTTAGCTTTTTTCCTAAGTGGTACTTATTTTTAAACTTGGATCCCACACTCCTGACTCCCTCAAACAGAGGTCAGTTTTCCTCTCTGCCCTTTTTTAACACATTCTTTTGTTAGGGCTAGAGTCTATCCATCCTAATGGAATCGTTTTCATCTTTTGTCCTGGCGTAATAATTAATAGTGTCCCCTTTTGCTCTCAATAGTGTACAAGTTTGAATAATAATGGTATAGTTCACCCCAATTATAACATCTGTGTCTGTTATCTCTTTATTATCACTGTGAATCGTGATATACATCCACATGTCTGTGTCCCACACTAGATAGATACTTCCCTAAGATCCGGATCACCATCAGCTGTTGTTGTTGTTGAGTGCTGTCCAGTTGGTTCCGACTCATAGCGACCCTATGTACAACAGAACGCAGCGCTGCCCAGTCTTGTGCCATCCTCACAATCGTTATGTTTGAGTCCACTGTTGCAGCCACTGTGTCAGTGCATCTTGTTGAGGGTTTTCCTCTTTTTTGCTGACTCTATACCAAGCGTGATGTACTTCTCTAGGAACTGATCCCTTCTGATAATATGTCCAAAGTACATGAGATGAAGTCTTGCCATCCTCGCTTCTAAGGAGCAGTGTGGCTGTACTTCTTCCAAGACAGATTTGTTCATTTTTCTGGCAGCCTATGGTATATTCAGTGTTCTTCGCTAGCACTGTAATTCAGATGTATCAATTCTTCTGTCTTCCCTGTTCATCGTCAAGCTTTTGCATGTGTATGAGTTAAATGAAAATAACCATGGCTTGGGTCAGGTGCACCTTAGTCCACAGAGTAACATCTTTGCTTTTTAACACTTTAAAGAGGTCTTTTGCAGTAGATTTGCCCAGTGCACTATGTTGTCTGATTTCTTGACTGCTGCTTTCATGGGCGTGGTTTGTGGATCCAAGTAAAATGAAATCCTTGACAACTTTAGTTTTCTCAGTAATTCATGATGTTGCTTATTGGTCCAGTTGTGAGGATTTATGTTTTCTTTCTGTTGAGGTGTAATCCATACTGAAGTCTGTAGTCTTTGATCTTCATCAGTAAGTGCTTCTAGTCCTCTTCACTTTCAGCAAGCAAGGTTATGTCATCTGTGTATCACAGGTTGTTAATGAGTTGTGCTCCAATCTTGACGTCGTGTTCTTCTTCATATAGTCTGATTTCTTGGATTGTTTACTCAGCATACAGATCGAATAAGTATGTTGAAAGGAAACACCCCTGATGCACACCTTTCTTAGTTTTAAACCACTCAGTATCCCCTCGTTCTGTTCGAACAACTGTCTCTCAGTCTATGTACGGGTTTTGCATTAGCACAATTAAGTGTTCTGGGATTTGCATTCTTTGAAATGTTATCCGTGATTTGTTATGATCCACACAGTCAAATGCCTTTGTATAGTCAGTAAAACACAGGAAAACATCTTTCTGGTATTCTGTGCTTTCAGCTAAGATCCATTTGACATGTCCTCTTTTGAATTGGGCTTAAATTTCTGGCAGTTCCCTGTTAATGTACTTGCTGCAACCGTTTGGAATTATCTTCAGCAAAATTTTACTTGTATGTGATATTAATGATGTTGCTTGATTATTTCCACATCCTGTTGCATCACCTTTCTTTGGAATGGGCACAAATATGGATGTCTTCATGTTGGTTTACCAGGTAGCTGTCTTCCAGATTTTTTAGCGTAGATGAGTGAGCGCTTCCAGCGTTGCATCTGTTTGTCGAAATATATCAACTGGTATTTCATCAATTCGTGGAGCTTTGTTTTTCGCCATTCCCTTCAGTGCAGCTTGGACTTATTCCTTCAGTACCATTGATTCTTGATCATATACTGCCTCCTGAAATGGTTGAACGTTGACCGATTCTTTTTGGTACAGTGACTCTGTATTCCTTCCATCTTCTTTTCATGCTTCCTACTTCATTCAATGTCTTGCCCATAGAATCCTTCAGTATTGCAACTTGAGGCTTCAGTTTTTTCTTCAGTTCTTTCTGCTTGAGAAATGCCAAGCGTGTTCTTCCCTTTTGGTATTCTAACTCCATATCTTTGCACGTTCCATTATAATAATCTACTTTGTCTTCTTGAGCTGCCCTTTGAAATCTTCTCTTCAACTCCTTTACTTCATCATTTCTTCCATTCCCTTTAGCTACTCGATGTTCAAGAGCAAATTTCAGAGTCTCTCCTGACATGTATTTTGTTCGTTTTTTTTCTTTCATGTCTTTATAATGACCTTTTGCTTTCTTCATGTATGATGTCCTTGATGTATCCCACTAATGACTGGTCTTTAGTCATTAGTGTTCAGTGTGTCAAATCTACTCTTTAGATGGTCTCAAAATTCAGGTTGTACTTTGACTCTTGTGGACTTGTTTTAATTTTCTTCAGCTTCAACTTGAACTTGCATGTGAGCAATTGATGGTCTGTTCTGCAGTCGGCCCCTGGCCTTGTTCTGACTGATGATATTGAGCTTCTTTCTCTATCATCTCTTTCCACAGATGTAGTCGATTTGATTCTTGTGTATTCCATCCGGTGAGGGCCATGTGCATAGTCATCGTTTATGTTGTTTAAAAAAGGTATTTGCAATGAAGAAGTTGTTGGTCTTGCAAAATTCTATCATGCCATCTCAGGTGTCATTTCTGTCACCAAGGCTGTATTTTCCAACTACCTATCCTTCTTTCTTTCCATCTTTCTCAGTTCAGTCACCAGTAATTATCAGTCTGTCTTGATTGCATGTGTGATCATTCAAACTGCAGAAGTTGGTAAAAATCTTCAATATCCTCATCTTTGACGTTAATGGTTGGTGCATAAATTTGAATAATAGTCATAGTAAGTCGTCCTTGTAGGCTTATGGATATTATCCTATCACTGACAGTGTTGTGCTTCAGGATAGATCTCGAAATGTTCTTTTTG